CGGACCCCCTCCCGCAGTCACAAGCCTCCCCCCCTTGGCCAGAGCCCCCCTCGCAGGGAAGGAGGGAGGGAGGATAACGCGCGGGGGGGGAAGGAGAGCCACCACCGGAGAGCCCAGGGTGCTTCATCGGAGGGAAGAAAAAGGGAATGCAGACCCCAGGAGGATGAGGAAGGCTGGCCCGGCTAGCTGGCCAGTCTGCCGTTCGAGGGGTCCTGGGTTCAAGTCCCGTTTCTGCCCTTCTTCTTTTTGTGCAATGCAAGCTTTCACTCCTTTTCGCTCTCTCTCTGGCCCACCGCTTCACTTCGTGGAAGGAAAGCCATGGAAACGGGAGGCCTGCCCCGCAGGGTGGTTGTGGTGGGGAAGCCAAATTCGGGCAGCCCGCCTGCTTCTTTCCCGGGATTGGGGGGGAAAAAACAAAAAAAAACCACCAGAGTAAAATAAATGATGAGGAGTTTTAATCTCGGGGCTTGTTGGCTCCTTCTGTTCTCCCTTTCATGGGCCGCTGTCTGTGGGAGCCGTTTTCCGTCTCCACCAGAACCCCGCGGGGGCCGAGGATGTTTCCAGAGCCATAAATCCTCCTTTCCCACCAGCCGCCCTCCCCTCTGGCTGAGACCGACAGCTCCCTCCCTGGCTTTCCATGGGGCAACCCCCCCAGCCCGCCCCCCTCAGTCGAAAAGAGGTTATTCCCCCCCACACACACACACACGCAGACACTTCTGCAGTCCTGGACCAGATGAAGCAGAGCGGAAATGAAAGAGGCAAAAGGGACGTCTTCCTTTTCTGCCCCCCCCGACACCCTCACCCCCAATCGGGACTCGGAGGGTGCTGGGATGTGGCGCTTAAGGGGTGGGGAGGGATGGGTGCCCCAGCCGGGGCAAGTAGGAACCGCATGGTAATTACAGGGTGCTGCCGCCAAGCTGGTTGCGATGCCCGAGGGGCGACGGAGGAGGAGGAGGAGGAGGAACTCTCTCTGGCGTTATCCGCTCCCCTCCCGATGGCTCCTTGGAGCTGGCTGGGAGTTGGGCGAAAGTTGCAGCTTGGGACGCTCTTATAGCTCCTGCGGGCGGAAAGTTTGGGGGCCGCGGTGCCATTGGCTTGACGTGGGAGAGGAGGGACTTTGCCGAGGTCTAGAGGAAAGTTTCCGCTTCCCCCCTTTCCTCCCCCTCGCTTCCCAA